TGTGATATTAAAGTTAAAGTTGAGAAAAAAGAAATGTTTAAAAAGTATAAATAATTGATGCGCGCTTGTTTTATTTTAATGATTTCTTTCCCTTATCAACCAAAAAAATGGATGTAGGGTATTTACACATTTATTTGTTCAAGGAAAGAAAAGTTTTAAAAGTGTCTATATTCCTAGCCTAAGTGGCTCTATAAAAAGTCGAAAGATCACAAAGGGTTGATGATCTCAATCACTCGCTTCCACAGTGGTAAGATATATTTGTCGAAAGTAACAAGCCCGTTGGGCTGAGAATATATCTCAACAGGAGCACAACTGTTCAAATATATACAGAAGGACAATCTTTTTGCTGTAAGATTTTAATGATGAATTGAAAGCAGGTGATAAAGACTGTATGTGGATACGGATTTTCTACAAGAACCTAATGTTATCATTTTTTTTTAAGTGACCACATTCGCCGATTGATTGTTGGAGTGTCTAACTGTTGTATTGTTTCATAAACCATCCTCAATTAATCTGCTAACCTGTCTGAAGATATAATAAGCAATGTGGTAAAGCTTACACCAACACAATTAACGTTTGTATTTGTGTGTGGGGAGGGGGGGGCTAAGTGCAAGGAGAAAGGGAGATGGAGATAGATTTGAGGAATTATTTTCCTTGTTTACAACATTACAGCAACAAATAGCACTAAAATAACAGGATCGCACGCTTCCATTTCTCAAATTACAAACCTTAAACGTTGTTTGATTGGCCAGCGTCGCCCACTTTTCCAAGGTAAAAAAAAATGGAAATTCTCAGTATGGGCTGGGCTGGATTAATAGAAAGTGTGTGTGGATTGGGGTGGGGGTGTGAGGGGGGGGGGGTGTGAGGTAGTGTGGGATGATCATGATGAACTAGACAGAAGCTGATACTTTCTGTTTAGAAAGACAGAAGCCAAAAGATAAACAGACCGGAAGTCAACTTTATAATGTGTCTCACTGTTCCTTTTCTCCTAAGTCAATTAACACAAGATTATAATGGCATTTCCCTTACACCAATCAACACAAAAATATCATGCCATTTCCTTTATATCAACCAACACAAAAATACCATGCCATTTCCCTTGTATTAACCAACACTGGAATATCATGCCATGTTTCTTATACCAATCAACACAAAAATATCATGCCAATTCCCTATAACCAACCAACACAAGAACACCATGCACTATTTGACCACCCACGATAAGAAGCTTGAGGCTAATTGACCGGTGACTAGAAAATACGATGATTGATCAACAGGAAATATTTTCACACAGCAAACAATGCCTCACATTTATTCAAACTATTTTTTTCCTTAGCCCAACAGCGAGTGATGTATTTATAGAAACAAAGGTCGCTGGTGTGATCTAAGTCTGTACCATCAAAGAAACACCGCATGTGTATTTTAAAATCATTTTTTTAAAATCAATATTAGCGTGTATTTGTATTTTAAATATCATTATATTCCTCGCCCCCTCTTTCTTTTAAATAAACACAACATGTACCTTTTTCCTTCAAATAGTCAAATTATTTAAAACTAACTTCATTAGAATGTAACTCGCCCAGGCATTACTCCTAAAGTTTTCCCAATAAAGTCACAGGAAACATCTTTTCCAGAAGAATCTAATCACACTAATCAAGCATTGGTATATTTAAATGAGTGAAAGGGGACGGAGAGCATAGAAACCATGGGTTGAGGAGCACTAGGCTACTGGCAAGACGAAATATTAATAGCCCAGCCGGTTCTTTAAAAAAATTCTAAATAAATGGCCCAATTTTGAGTCTCAGAATAGTGCCGTTTCAACCGAGACCTAAAACAGTAGAATCAGAATGTGAAATGGGCGTTTATTTTCATTGATTTCGTGACCGCGGCTCCCAAGGAAGACTAAACAACAGTACTCTGGCTGTCTGTTATTGTAATCAGCTCGCTAGTTACAGGGGTTCTAAACTTTGCTGAGATGGCTGACTCCCAAGGACGTCTAAAAAAGGGTACTCTGGCTGTTATTGTAATCAGCTCGCTAGTTACAGGGGTTCTAAACTTTGCTGGGATAGCTGGCTCCCAAGGACGTCTAAAAAGGGTACTCTGGCTGTTATTGTAATCAGCTCGCTAGTTACAGGGGTTCTAAACTTTGCTGAGATGGCTAGCTCCCAAGGACGTCTAAAAAGGGTACTCTGGCTGTTATTGTAATCAGCTCGCTAGTTACAGGGGTTCTAAACTTTGCTGAGATGGCTAGCTCCCAAGGACGTCTAAACAAGGGTACTCTGGCTGTTATTGTAATCAGCTCGCTAGTTACAGGGGTTCTAAACTTTGCTGAGATGGCTGACTCCCAAGGACGTCTAAACAAGGGTACTCTGGCTGTTATTGTAATCAGCTCGCTAGTTACAGGGGTTCTAAACTTTGCCGTGATGGCTGGCTCCCAAGGACGTCTAAACAAGGGTACTCTGGCGGTTTAAATCTATTTCATCTTGAGGCAGCATCCCATGTTTAATTCTATGCCATCTTGAGGCAGCATCCACAGTTTCTCTGCCATCTTGAGGCAGCATCCCATGTTCTATGCCATCTTGAGGCAGCATCCACGTTTAATTATCTGCCATCTTGAGAAGTTTAATTCTATACCATCTTAAGGAAGCATCCATAACTCTATGCTAGCACATAACACGATTCAAACAGTTAATTCCATTACAGCCCCTAACATGTTCTATTGATATAAATATTTCAAACCCCGAAGACGTGCCACAACGGGCAGCCCCTAGACTATATCCAGCCTATCCATGTCTCAGGAAATTAGACCTGCTTTAATATGCAATAGCTGTCCACACGATAAGACACGTGTGTTGTATCTAGCTCTCACCTGAACATCTTTTACGTTATTTTTTTTTAAGTTTTCTTCTGTAACAAAAGCTATTGTATACGGCAAAGTTGTCCGGCACTTCAAATTAATTCACAAGGAATGAGTTTTTGGAAGGCGCATAGCTTACTAAAAGCTATTCGTACACTGTCCAATCTTATATTATTGGTCAGTGTAGAAATAGCCTTACAACGAACAATAGCTTATTCGTAGTTCACTACGAAATAGACACCCTGTTTTCAACAGACACCATCCACTTCTCTCTCCTGCACCCTCCCCTTTCCGCCGTTGACCTTCCAACACATTGACGCGCCATACCGTAATCCGCTGAAACATGCAACATCACAGACGAAAGCTGCCTTGGTGAAATCGATGTATCCACCTACGGTTTGAGGCCTTGTCGCCGAATAGCGTTCAACTAGTCCAGATGATTGAGCTCATGTTAAAGCCAGACTACATCCGCACTACTGGTAGTATGTCTAGTACATGTTTGGTATTGCTGTCCATTGACAAAGAAATGTATACAGACCTATTGGACGCTACGGAACGGACTACCACCGTAGAGCTAGGTTGACAGGGACAATAGATAAATACAGGTTTGATGAGCCCTCGCCTAATGTCTATTATCATGCATCGCTATCATGAAAGTGAGGACCAGATGCCGACACAAGACATCCTAGTCCAATCTGCTGGACACTGGCCACAACTATAAAGTCAGCTGACCAGCTAATGCCGCCCCATTCGTCTGTTTCATACAGTAACACATACAGGCTGCTAAACGTAGAGAGATGACCTACTGAATCCGGCAGTATACTGACTTAAGGCATTGAACTTTAAACTAAAGTACAGTACAAGTCTTTAGTCAGTGCCCAAGCATAGATAACCGTATTTTTTAAAAATGTATCCGTCGTGTGGGTGTATGAGAAATATATGAGAAATATTTGAGAAAAGTATAAAATTGACTGCAACATGATTAGCTAGGCTGTAAGAAGACACCGGTGTGGGTGTATGTGGGTGAGGGAATCAATGCAGGCCCTGGGCTGGCGTCATGAGAATACATCAGGTAAGCGAGCCCAGCTTACAGGCGGGATCTGCTCTTCGTGATACAAACACGTGGGCGGAAGTCGCTGATACAACCTCACGAGCAGTTTAAAATAGACGGCCGGATAAATAAATAAATGAATCTGTTGCTGAGTGGAAATATAGCTCGCTTGTCTGTTGTTTGAAATGTTAAAAGTCAGAGGACAGCCGCGGCTAACAAGCCTGTCTTCGCGTGGGCGTTTAATCGTCTCGTTTTAATTAAAGAAGCTTTTAGGTAAGCTGAGAAGTGGTGTCCTAAATACAGGCGACATAAAACATTGTCCTCTGGAATCCCGGCGATGGATGGGGGTTGCCATGGCAACACAATAGCTGGAATGGCTTTGGAGAAACGTGTTTACGAGTTTGTTGGTAGAAGGTAGTTTGAGCAGTGGTGGAGGGTAGTGTCATCAGAAGTAGAATGTAGTGTAAACAGTGGTAGAAGGTAGTTTCAGCATTGGTAGAAGGTAGTTTCAGCATCGGTAGAAGGTAGTTTCAGCATTGGTAGAAGATAGTTTCAGCATTGATATAAGGTAGTTATCAGTAAAGGCGAAAAGTGTCGGTAGATGCAAATACTAAAATGCATATTTTTGCTTCTCAGAACCAAAGCCTCATTATGTTATGGAGACCATTATATTACTTAATATAGATATGTATACACAAAAAAATACAAACATTTGACTGAAGGCGGCATGCATGTAAATAAGCTTAAAAAGCTCTAACTAAAACAAAATTTAAGTAGAAATCTGTAGCTCAAAGATAGAGGTCTGGCATCGAAAATGGTCGGAGATTAAATTAAAAAGTAAAAAGCAGAGACAATAGTACATAAATAAATAGGGTGGTGGGGGCCAATACACCAACTTTAAAAAGCTTAGAACATAATAATATATTCATACAAAACTACACCAAAACACGGAGAAAAATAGTGCATCCAAAAAACTGCTCAACGGAACATCCAGGGTAGGTAAACTAAAAAGGGAAACTACTCTAAAGAAAGCAACATTAAAATGGCTATAAGAAATACAACGAATAAGCTACTCTTCCAAATACCGCTTACCTCCCTGCTCATCCAGCATAACCAAAGTCTTTATCCCCGCTTCCTTACTCTGGTTAAGGTAAGAATTGATTTGTCATTATTCTTTTTATATGGGTGGGAATTCTAGAGATAAGGCACACTACAAGGACCAATTGTCTTCAAGGAGAACTGGAGTGTTTTCATTTTGTTTCATAAGTTTGATATGATGGCAGCCTCCGGTTACTAAGCCTGATGGCCCCACTCAAAACATGTATGATGGCCACACTCCATACAGCACATGTATGATGGCCTCATTCTCTTAAAACAACACATGTATGATGGCCACATTCCCATACAACACATGTATGATGGCCTCACTATCTTACAACAGCATATGTATAACGGCCTCATTCCCTTACAAAAGCACATGTATGATGGCCACACTCTCTTACAGCACATGTATGATGGCCACACTCTCTTACAGCACATGTATGATGGCCTCATTCAATTAAAACAACACATGTATGATGGCCTCGCTCCCTTACAACAACACATGTATGATGGCCTCGCTCCCTTACAACAACACATGTATGATGGCCTCGCTCCCTTACAACAACACATGTATGATGGCCTCGCTCCCTTACAACAACACATGTATGATGGCCTCGCTCCCTTAAAATAACACATGTATGATGGCCTCGCTCCCTTAAAATAACACATGTATGATGGCCTCGCTCCCTTACAACAACACATGTATGATGGCCTCGCTCCCTTACAACAACACATGTATGATGGCCTCGCTCCCTTACAACAACACATGTATGATGGCCTCGCTCCCTTACAACAACACATGTATGATGGCCTCGCTCCCATACAACACATGTATGATGGCCACATTCCCATACAACACATGTATGATGGCCTCATTCAATTAAAACAACACATGTATGATGGCCTCGCTCCCTTAAAACAACACGTATGATGACCACACTCCCTTGCAACACATGTATGATGGCCATACTATCTTACAACAACACATGTATGATGGCCATACTCCCTTACAACAACACATGTATGATGGCCACACTCCATACAGCACATTTATGATGGCCTCGCTCCCTTAAAACAACACATGTATGATGGCCATACTCCCTTACAACAACACATGTATGATGGCCACACTCCATACAGCACATTTATGATGGCCTCGCTCCCTTAAAACAACACATGTATGATGGCCACACTCCCTTAAAACAACACATGTATGATGGCCACACTCCCTTACAACAACTCATGTATGATGGCCATACTCCCTTACAGCACATGTATAATGGCCTCGCTCCCATACAACACATGTATGATGGCCACATTCCCATACAACACATGTATGATGGCCTCACTATCTTACAACAACACATGTATGATGGCCTCGCTCCCTTAAAACAACACATGTATGATGGCCTCACTCCCTCACAACAGTAAATGTCAACACTTACCTCTTCACACATTGCCAGCATACGCCGGGTACTCTCCAGGGACTGAAAATAGAAAAAAAGGGAAAAAATTACAAATAGAAGTTCCTAATCCTTTCTAGCAACAGTTTTAAGCAGAGAGCTTGTTCGTCTTACTTTTAGATTCAACAACTCAGCTATAATCTCTGTATATCATTATTTTACCTCGACGGGTTGTTTGGAGAGTCATCAGAGTTGAAGAAAGACGTAAAAATTCTTCCTTCAAAATGTATTTTAATTTACGATGTAAATCTTAGCATTTAAAATAACTTCAAATAAAAAGAAAATATTTGTGATGATTTGGTTTATTCACCGATACCCAATAATTTTAAAAATTAACTCTTTAACTTTAATATATAATTAAATTATAGTAACCATCGATTGGACAATCGCTACTTAAAATGCAAATTTCATGCTTAAGCTTGTATATGTATTGGTTCTGTCAAAACCTTAAGGAATACTGTTTTCATAATTAATAAACCGGGAGTGATCTCCCCTAAACTTTCTCGAATATTCTTATATAAAACAAAAGGGGATGGGAACTCGGGATATAGTTATGATTTTTAATCCATTTTAAATACATAAACTTTTTAAAATAAAATAGAATCTCATAGAAAAAAGTATTGCACACCAAGTGAACGCCGAATAAAGATGTTCATAATGGTGCGCAATATTATTAGTACTTTATAAATTTAGGTGCGTTTTTGAGAAATCGGAAATAGCGTAAATTAGTACTTCCCGTCAATGGAAATTACTCAAAATTTAACAGAAGGTAGAGAATTAGATCTTTTACTTACATGTGAAATTTCATTTATCTATCTGAAATAGTACTCAAGTTATAGGCTTTTGAAAAATTCAAAGTAGAAAAAGTACCACTTCCGGTTATCGGAAATCGCTCAAAAGTTGATACGGATCTACTATTTTGATAACATACTTATATATGAAATTTCATCAACCTAGCTGTAACGGTACTCAAGTAATCGTGTTTACACATACACAGACACACACACACACACACACACACAGACACACAGACATACGGACAAGATTGCAAAATTATGTTTTTCCGTATCAGTGAGGTGTACAACGTCGAGATTTGTAAAAATCTCGATTTTTTTTGCACGATTACAATACTTTCTCTATACTACGTATATACGAGAAAGTAAAAATGTAGTGGGGACGCCATCAGTTTCAATTTACGAGACAGCGGTGAGATACTGACTGCTTTAACTAACTATTGAACAGACAACTTGTGTCTATCGTCATCCATAACTAGAGAGATGATTGTGTGTGTGTACACATGGTGAGTGATGTGAAAACAGTTTAAACAAGGTAATTAAAAAGTCTAGTGACAATTTTAGCGCAATTTCCTTATGTTATCTAAAAATAGCTCTGTCGTAGCGTAAATCAAGAGCAGGGTTAGTAAAACCATTGGTTAAAATACATGTTTTATTTACAATAGAGTTACATGACTAAAAACCATTGCGCACCTAGCTACTGAACGTGATGAAGCAGCCATTGAACGTGATGGCGCAGCTATTGAACGTGATGACGCGTGTGGTGTGGTTGGAAAACATGCCTACTAATTCGGTCCAAATTTTAATTAATTAAAAAAAATTTTGTGACCGAACGAAAGAATATTTTTGAAAACTTTCTTCGGCAATATTGTTCTAAATTATGGCAGGAATCGATTGGTACATGTCGCTAAGTCGTCTGGTTGCCGATATATGGGCCAAAAACTGCTTTTTTCGATGTTTTTTTACTTTTCCGGGAAATCCATGAAAGAAACCCGGAATTTTTATGGCCTATGTTCATCCTCGTAACTTGCTGAACATAATTGCTTTTGTAACTAGTCATCGATATTACTTCGTTGAGGAGGAGATACGACTTAAAGCCCGGACACACATTCATACATCCATTCATTCATCCATCCATACATTCCCAGAAATGACGAGTTAATAAACGCAATTCTCCAGAATGGAAATTGCGCTAAAAAACAATCGAAGGAAGATGTGTTAGGGTGAAGGATGTAGTCAAATCCCAACAAATACAATACATTAGCAGTGACGTAATCTGCATCACATCACGTGTATGCATGGCGTGATGGCATGGAATTACATAACAGTAGTCACAGGTTCTAAATAGGAAAACCGGGATTTTCCCAAAACGCACGCTAACATTTATGCTTATTACTAATTTGTTTGAAGTGGTAATTAAATTACCATTATCAGCCTAATTACAAGATATACCGCTGATACTTCGAGTGAGTTATTATTAGAATGAGACGACTCGCCAGTCGACAACATGACAGACAAAGCTAGACGCGGCTCGGCCGGAAATAGAACAGACGGAGATGCTTGTCCGGTTCTAGAACTCATTGGCAGGTAGCAGACGTCAACCACTGGCAGCTTTTGGTCGGCTTTGTTGTCATAATGATAGTGTGAGGGGTCTGTTGGTGTCATAGTAACATGGTTATAATAGGGGTCTGTTGGTGTCATGGTAACATGGTTATAATAGGGGTCTGTTGGTGTCATGGTAACATGGTTATAATAGGGGTCTGTTGGTGTCATGGTAACATGGTTATAATAGGAGTCTGTTGGTGTCATAGTAACATGGTTATAATAGGAGTCTGTTGGTGTCATGGTAACATGGTTATAATAGGAGTCGGTGTCATGGTAACATGGTTATAATAGGAGTCTGTTGGTGTCATGGTAACATGGTTATAATAAGGGTCTGTTGGTGTCATGGTAACATGGTTATAATAGGCGTCTGTTGGTGTCATGGTAACATGGTTATAATAGGGTCTGTTGGTGTCATAGTAACATGGTTATAATAGGAGTCTGTTGGTGTCATGGTAACATGGTTATAATAGGCGTCTGTTGGTGTCATGGTAACATGGTTATAATAGGGTCTGTTGGTGTCATGGTAACATGGTTATAATAGGGTCTGTTGGTGTCATTGTAACGTGGTTATAATAGGCGTCTGTTGATGTCATGGTAACATGGTTATAATAGGAGTCTGTTGGTGTCATGGTAACATGGTTATAATAGGAGTCTGTTGATGTCATGGTAACAAGGTTATAATAGGAGTCTGTTGGTGTCATGGTAACATGGTTATAATAGGAGTCTGTTGATGTCATGGTAACATGGTTATAATAGGCGTCTGTTGGTGTCATGGTAACATGGTTATAATAGGAGTCTGTTGATGTCATGGTAACATGGTTATAATAGGCGTCTGTTGGTGTCATGGTAACATGGTTATAATAGGAGTCTGTTGATGTCATGGTAACATGGTTATAATAGGAGTCTGTTGGTGTCATGGTAACATGGTTATAATAGGGGTCTGTTGGTGTCATGGTAACATGGTTATAATAGGAGTCTGTTGATGTCATGGTAACATGGTTATAATAGGGGTCTGTTGGTGTCATGGTAACATGGTTATAATAGGAGTCTGTTGATGTCATGGTAACATGGTTATAATAGGAGTCTGTTGGTGTCATGGTAACATGGTTATAATAGGAGTCTGTTTATGTCATGGTAACATGGTTATAATAGGCGTCTGTTGGTGTCATGGTAACATGGTTATAATAGGAGTCTGTTGGTGTCATGGTAACATGGTTATAATAGGGGTCTGTTGGTGTCATAGTAACATGGTTATAATAGGAGTCTGTTGATGTCATGGTAACATGGTTATATAAGGAGTTTGTTGGTGTCATGGTAACATGGTTATATAAGGAGTCTGTTGGTATCATGGTAACATGGTTATAATAGGAGTCTGTTGGTGTCATGGTAATATGGTTATAATAGGGGTCTGTTGGTGTCATGGTAACATGGTTATAATATGGGTCTGTTGGTATCATGGTAATATGGTTATAATAGGCGTCTGTTGGTGTCATAGTAACATGGTTATAAGAGGCGTCTGTTGGTCTTTCCATGACCGATTATTTTTTACAATACCTAAACTATTTTCGTAAAAAGGTGTTTAAAAAATAAATATTTGCCTCCTTTTTAATATGTAGTTTAATTGTAATGTTTGGCGACAGTAAAACTAAGTTTAGCGACAGTAAAACTATGTTTAGCGACAGTAAAACTATGTTTAGCGACAGTAAAACTATGTTTAGCGACAGTAAAACTATGTTTAGCGACAGTAAAACTATGTTTAGCGACAGTAAAACTATGTTTAGCGACAGTAAAACTATGTTTAGCGACAGTAAAACTATGTTTAGCGACAGTAAAACTATGTTTAGCGACAGTAAAACTATGTTTAGCGACAGTAAAACTATGTTTAGCGACAGTAAAACTATGTTTAGCGACAGTAAAACTATGTTTAGCGACAGTAAAACTATGTTTAGCGACAGTAAAACTATGTTTAGCGACAGTAAAACTATGTTTAGCGACAGTAAAACTATGTTTAGCGACAGTAAAACTAAGTCCAGTAAGTGACAGACACCTATTGGCAACAACGAAACAGTGAATAAGATAAATACGATGTAAACATCGATACAAACAGATAAGAATGCATGATTTTTTGACGTTTACTGTATGCACTCTTCTAACCCTTTGGACGGCTCAATGCTAGCCTACAACCATCTACCGTTCATATTTTCACCGTGTGGCTGCTTAATTATTTGTACTACTCGAGTTGCGGTACAGCACTATATAATGGCATGTTTAAGTTGTTCCACTGGCAATCTGTTATTTTACCAGCAGTTGAGTGCTGGTACAACACTCGACTGTTAGCACTATCAGATAACCAAGCTGAAAAACGAGCGCCTGTGTTATCAGGATTATTGAATTGTAATAAAAAAATATTTTTAAAAAATACGTCGCCAACATTTGCAAAGCGAGCCAAATCTAAACAGTTCAAAAATAAATCAAATCACAATCAATCAAACGTTAAAAAAACGTTTTAATAACAAGCTTTTATGTAATGATGCACTAAAAAGTAGAAAATAAATTATAGACTACTATTTAAATAACTATAAAGAAAAGCGTGGGTCACTTTAGTATCTATTGGATACCTTTACT